AGACAAACGACCCTTATTCCCAGCTCGTAACCCCCCCCCCCCACACCAACAATAACGACCCCCTCAACCAACAAACTAACCAATTTAAAGCTCTGTAGACACACCCTTTACCTGTATAATAACGAATTTAAGGTTACATAACAACACCTTAATTACCATATTATAATCTATGAAGCATTTTTTCATGATGCTTTGCGCCTTGAAAATGTCTATAATCGCTGTTAAGGAGACGATTATAGGTATATGATTGTTAAGGAGATGATTATAGGTATATGATTGTTGTTAAGATGACTATAGGTATACGATCGCCGTTAAGGAGATGATTATAGACATATGATCGCCGTTAAGGAGATGATTATAGACACATGATCGCCGTTAAGGAGATGATTATAGACACATGATCGCCGTTAAGGAGATGATTATAGACACATGATCGCCGTTAAGGAGGTGATTATAGGCATATAATCGCTGATAAGGAGACGATTATAGGCATATAATCGCTGATAAATAGACGATTATAGGCATATAATCGCTGTTAAGGAGGTGATTATAGGCATATAATCGATGGGAAAGCGTACTGGGAAAGAGGAAGGAGAGGGGGGGAGGGAATGTAGTCACGGATGTATTTTTATGATACAATACTCAGATGTATTTTTATCTTTTCCAAAATACAACATCGTCTCAGTTCTCAGTTATTTGTGTATGTTTAATTGTATAAAGTTGTATTTAATTGTATGTTGAACCTCGGTTGTGTCTCTGGTACAATCATGTTGGTGATTGTATGGGGGGGGGGTATTGTAGTGTGTTGTATTGTGTTTTGTGTGTGGATCATGTACTCTCTCTCCTGTGAGTGTGTGTGTGGATCATGTACTCTCTCTCCTGTGAGTGTGTGTGTGGATCATGTACTCTCTCTCCTGTGAGTGTGTGGATCATGTACTCTCTCTCCTGTGAGTGTGTGTGTGGATCATGTACTCTCTCTCCTGTGAGTGTGTGTGTGGATCATGTACTCTCTCTCCTGTGAGTGTGTGTGGTGATCGTGTACTCTCTCTCCTGTGAGTGTGTGTGTGTGGATCATGTACTCTCTCTCCTGTGAGTGTGTGTGTGGATCATGTACTCTCTCTCCTGTGAGTGTGTGGTGATCATGTACTCTCTCTCCTGTGAGTGTGTGTGTGGATCATGTACTGTCTCTTCTGTGAGTGTGTGGATCATGTACTCTCTCTCCTGTGAGTGTGTGTGTGGATCATGTACTGTCTCTCTCCTGTGAGTGTGTGTGTGGATCATGTACTCTCTCTCCTGTGAGTGTGTGTGTGGATCATGTACTCTCTCTCCTGTGAGTGTGTTGTGTGTGTGGATCATGTACTCTCTCTCCTGTGAGTGTGTGTGTGGATCATGTACTCTCTCTCCTGTGAGTGTGTGTGTGGATCATGTACTCTCTCTCCTGTGAGTGTGTGTGTGGATCATGTACTCTCTCTCCTGTGAGTGTGTGTGTGGATCATGTACTCTCTCTCCTGTGAGTGTGTGTGTGGATCATGTACTCTCTCTCCTGTGAGTGTGTGTTTGGATCATGTACTCTCTCTCCTGTGAGTGTGTGTGTGGATCATGTACTCTCTCTCCTGTGAGTGTGTGTGTGGATCATGTACTCTCTCTCCTGTGAGTGTGTGTGTGGATCATGTACTCTCTCTCCTGTGAGTGTGTGTGTGGATCATGTACTCTCTCTCCTGTGAGTGTGTGTGTGGATCATGTACTCTCTCTCCTGTGAGTGTGTGTGTGGATCATGTACTCTCTCTCCTGTGAGTGTGTGTGTGGATCATGTACTCTCTCTCCTGTGAGTGTGTGTGTGGATCATGTACTCTCTCTCCTGTGAGTGTGTGTGTGGATCATGTACTCTCTCTCCTGTGAGTGTGTGTGTGGATCATGTACTCTCTCTCCTGTGAGTGTGTGTGTGGATCATGTACTCTCTCTCCTGTGTGTGTGTGGATCATGTACTCTCTCTCCTGTGAGTGTGTGTGTGGATCATGTACTCTCTCTCCTGTGAGTGTGTGTGGTGATCATGTACTCTCTCTCCTGTGAGTGTGTATGTGGATCATGTACTCTCTCTCCTGTGAGTGTGTGTGTGGATCATGTACTCTCTCTCTCCTGTGAGTGTGTGTGGTGATCATGTACTCTCTCTCCTGTGAGTGTGTGTGTGTGGATCATGTACTCTCTCTCCTGTGAGTGTGTGTGTGGATCATGTACTCTCTCTCCTGTGAGTGTGTGTGTGGATCATGTACTCTCTCTCCTGTGAGTGTGTGTGTGGATCATGTACTCTCTCTCCTGTGAGTGTGTGTGGTGATCGTGTACTCTCTCTCCTGTGAGTGTGTGTGTGTGGATCATGTACTCTCTCTCCTGTGAGTGTGTGTGTGGATCATGTACTCTCTCTCCTGTGAGTGTGTGTGTGGATCATGTACTCTCTCTCCTGTGAGTGTGTGGTGATCATGTACTCTCTCTCCTGTGAGTGTGTGTGTGGATCATGTACTGTCTCTTCTGTGAGTGTGTGTGTGGATCATGTACTCTCTCTCCTGTGAGTGTGTGTGTGGATCATGTACTCTCTCTCCTGTGAGTGTGTGTGTGGATCATGTACTCTCTCTCCTGTGAGTGTGTGTGTGGATCATGTACTCTCTCTCCTGTGAGTGTGTGTGTGGATCATGTACTCTCTCTCCTGTGAGTGTGTGTGTGGATCATGTACTCTCTCTCTCCTGTGAGTGTGTGTGTGGATCATGTACTCTCTCTCCTGTGAGTGTGTGTGGATCATGAACTCTCTCTCTCCTGTGAGTGTGTGTGTGGATCATGTACTGTCTCTCCTGTGAGTGTGTGTGTGGATCATGTACTCTCTCTCCTGTGAGTGTGTGTGTGGATCATGTACTCTCTCTCCTGTGTGTGGTGATCATGTACTCTCTCTCCTGTGAGTGTGTGTGTGGATCATGTACTCTCTCTCTCTCTCCTGTGAGTGTGTGTGTGGATCATGTACTCTCTCTCCTGTGAGTGTGTGTGTGGATCATGTACTGTCTCTTCTGTGAGTGTGTGTTGATCGTGTACTCTCTCTCCTGTGAGTGTGTGGTGATCATGTACTCTCTCCTGAGTGTGTTGAACAAGTACTCTCTCTCCCCTGAGTGTGTGTAGATCATGTACTCTCCCGTGAGTGTGTGTGTGGATCATGTACTCTCCTGTGAGTGTGTGTAGATCATGTACTCTCCCCTGAGTGTACTCACCTAGTTGTACTCACCTAGTTGTGCTTGCGGGGGTTGAGCTCTGGCTCTTTGGTCCCTGTGTGTGTGTGCGTGTGTGTGTGTGTGTGTGTGTGTGTGTGTGTGTGTGTGTGTGTGTGTGTGTGTGTGTGTGTGTGTGTGTGTGTAGATCAAGCCTAGCATTGCCAGGTCCAGTACCCTGGTGGTGGTTCGGGAAGCTAGTTATAACCTCTTGGTTGCTTTAGGAGGAAGAGGTTCACTAGTATACCGTATACTAAAGACTATATACCTTTCTTGGCATCGGAACCTAAGTTTACGAAATCGAATAATGAATTGAAATGTTGCCTTATATCGGGTCTGCAAAGCTGTTTACATCACACAAACGCACACAGGTGTGTATTTTTAGTATCAATGTTTGCAGGTGTGTATTTTTAGTATCAATGTTTGCAGGTGTGTATTTTTAGTATCAATGTTTGCAGGTGTGTATTTTTAGTATCAATGTTTGCAGGTGTGTATTTTTAGTATCAATGTTTGCAGGTGTGTATTTTTAGTATCAATGTTTGCAGGTGTGTATTTTTAGTATCACTGTTTGCAGGTGTGTATTTTTAGTATCAATGTTTGCAGGTGTGTATTTTTAGTATCAATGTTTGCAGGTGTGTATTTTTAGTATAAATGTTTGCAGGTGTGTATTTTTAGTATCAATGTTTGCAGGTGTGCTATATTGCCCTTATATCCTCGTTAGTTCCATTGCAATATCGCGTTCTGCTTGGGTAACACTCTGGTGATCCTGGTGTTTGCAAGGGTGGCGCTGGTAAGCCTTTACGAGGTTCTGTTTGTTTCAGAGTGAAGGCTCACTCTGGTGGTTGGTGGAGTGCAGGCAGGGTAGGCAGGGGTGGCAGGGTAGGCAGGGGTGGCAGGGGAGGCAGGGGAGGCAGGGTAGGCAGGGGTGGCAGGGTAGGCAGGGGTGGCAGGGTAGGCAGGGGTGGCAGGGGAGGCAGGGGAGGCAGGGTAGGCAGGGGTGGCAGGGGAGGCAGGGGTGGCAGGGTAGGCAGGGGTGTCAGGGTAGGCAGGGGTGGCAGGGGTGGCAGGGTAGGCAGGGGTGGCAGGGTAGGCAGAGGTGGCAGGGTAGGCAGGGGTGGCAGGGTAGGCAGGGGTGGCAGGGTAGGCAGGGGTGTCAGGGTAGGCAGGGGTGGCAGGGTAGGCAGGGTAGGCAGGGGTGGCAGGGTAGGCAGAGGTGGCAGGGTAGGTAGGGTGGCAGGGTAGGCAGGGGTGTCAGGGTAGGCAGGGGTGGCAGGGTAGGCAGGGGTGGCAGGGTAGGCAGGGGTGGCAGGGTAGGCAGGGTGGCAGGGGGCAAGGCAGACAGGGGGCAAGGGGCAGACAGGCAGAGGCAGGCATAAGAGGGAGGGACAAGCAGGGGCAGACAGGCAGGGGGGAGGCAGGGGTGTAGAGTACATTGGTACTTTCTGATGATCCATCACTACATACTGGTACTTTCCTCAAGTTAATGTAAGTACTGTCACTTTAGGAGGCTGTGAGATGAACCTTGACAGCTTCAGGTACAAACTAGACCCTCACCTTGACAGCTTCAGGTACTAACTAGACCCTTCACCTTGACAGCTTCAGGTACAAACTAGACCCTCACCTTGACAGCTTCAGGTACAAACTAGACCCTCACCTTGACAGCTTCAGGTACAAACTAGACCCTCCCCTTGACAGCTTCAGGTACTAACAAGACCCCTCACCTTGACAGCTTCAGGTACTAACAAGACCCCTCACCTTGACAGCTTCAGGTCAACATGCTGAGGGGAAGAAGGACCGTTGAGGTGTTGTGGAGGTGTCCAGCAGAGGGAGAGGCCACGCACCTGACGACTCCTCACACCCAAACGCACTCCATGGCCTGCTACAGGTGCTTCGCCCGGGGTAAATACAGGTTGTGGCAGGCAGAGGCTGGCCTGCCTCGTCCTGGGGGCGAGGCTGAAGGTGGTCACGTCTACTCAAGACACCATCAATGACCACACAACTCTCACACAATTTTTTACGGTCTTATCCGCGATCAAATTTTGCAATCACTGTGCGAAATTGATTGGAAATAATTCTGATGCTATTTTTTCTCTCGAAAAATTGTTTCTGTTTTGTATTTTGTCTTTACGGTGAGTTACTGATGAGTAAAGAGGGTGTGTTCCTCACTTGTTCTCGGGGCGGTGTTCTTCACGAGCGAAGAACAGCGTTATAACAGCCATAACAGCACCCAGCCTCAACGTCAGTGCCCAAACCATTCCTGGCTCGTGTCCTCCCGCCTCACAACACACACAAAACTCCCTCAATTATCTTCAAAAACGCATCCAGTCAGAAAACCAAATTAAGAACCAATAATTCTTATCTTGTGGTGTCTCTTAGGTCAAGAGGAAAGTGGTAATCATCTTACTATCCCCGCTCATGGGACGGTGCGCGGGCTGGCCACTCTTCCAAGAGCATATGGAAAGGGTTCTTTCTCTTTTTTTATTATTAATGTGCGGCGGATCACAGAGCGCAGCACCGATGTCCTGCTCCTGCGGTGGGTGGCAGCAGACTGAGGCTAGGCCGGGAGGTACTCTACCACCAGCACCCTCCCACCAGCCTCTTGTACACCTCTGCGCAACTCTCTCTCTCTCTCTCTCTCTCTCTCTCTCTCTCTCTCTCTCTCTCTCTCTACACCTATTCCTCTTCCCTGGTCACATTTTCCTTAAAAGCCTTCCACTCCTGTCTTCCATTTTGGGGGACATTCTTCTCAGAGCTGCCTAGTGGACCGTGCCTGTCCTCACCTTAGACTTTCCATCTCTTGCATCATGTACATATCTCTTGCTCTCTCTCTCTCTCTCTCTCTCTCTCTCTCTCAATGTCTCTCTCTCTCTCAATGTCTCTATCCTCCTCTCGCTCTTTTTTACCTGTTTCATTGTGTGTGTGTGTGTGTGTATATTATATATATATATATATATATATATATATATATATATATATATATATATATATATACATATATATATATATATATATATATCCATGTTACTCGTAGATTAAACATTCTACCACAAAGTAATTTCGAATTCAATTATAAATGCAAATTGTCGGAATATTTCAAAATAAAAATCAGAATTGTTAGTAGTGGCAGTAGTTAGGGTAGTAATTGTGGTAGTAGTTGGTGTAGGAGTAGCAGTAGTAACAGTAGTACTGACTGTAATAATAGTATTAGAGCAGTACTAGCAGTAGTAACAGTAGCAGGTGTAGTAACAGGTGCAGCAGCAGCAGCTGTATCAAGATTCAATTTTTAACTGCTACTTCCCAATCAGATTTACTAGTAGTTTTCAGTGCAAGTTGCAAGGATTGCTATACCTGCCGGCAAGAGTGTGGGAAGAGAGCCTTCTGTTGCTCAAGCCTGCCCCAATTGTCCCCCTGATAAGATCACTAACGACCCCAGTGGCGGTAGTTAGGGCTTCCTGGAGATAACCCTGGGTGTATTATCCATAATAATACCATCCTACAGGCTCGGTCTCATCTAACCCACGCATCCTTGTGGGACGACACTCCATCCTCCTCCCTCACCCCATCTCCTAGCCTCAGGCATCCCTCCTCCCATCCCTACCCATCCTAAAGCGTATCATCCCACTCAGCTCCGAGACACCGACATTTCTGTTCGTGTCATAAAAATGTGATTTCCTCCGCGAGCAAAATGCGGCCGGAGACGTTTACCTTGAGCCAGACTATCGACCAAGTCTCACACTCAACCACCTAAGTTCAACACGGCAAGTTTCCCCTCTACCCGCATGTCTCTCTCTCTCTGTCTCTCTCTCTCTCTCTCTCTCTCTCTCTCTCTCTCTCTCTCTGTCTCTGTCTCTGTCTCTCTCTCTCTCTCTCTCTCTCTCTCTCTCTCTCTCTCTCTCTCTGTCTCTCTCTGTCTCTCTCACATGCTGTCAGGACACTTGAGGAGAGCGAAGCGCAACATCTCACGAACACAAAACAAAGTTGGACAAAGTGTCGAGGTTTACCATCAAACTGGACCTAGAGACGAGAGGCACGAGTTGCGAGGAACCAGCTTCCATCACTGCAGGCGTGAAGGAACTGCACCGACTGGGGTACCAAACTGGGGTACCTGACTGGGGGTACCTGGAACCACAAAGGTTGGTGGTCGGGACAGCAGGTGACTGGGACGCAGTATGACATAGTCCCTCATCACTTCGCTGTGTATACACACCAATATCTGACATGGAGCTGCACAAACACATTCCACTTTTGAAGTGGAGTGAAATCTTTTTTAGTGTACGAATTTCTCCGTACAGTTGCCAGTTAAAAAGATATATTTGTAAGGGTGTGAAGGTTGGTGTGGAGGCAGGCAGGTAGCAGGCAGGTGGCAGGCAGGTGGCAGGCAGGTGGCAGGCAGGTGGCAGGCAGGTGGCAGGCAGGGGGCAGGGGCAGGTGGTGAGACAGCACAACACCACACATACTCAGGGAAAGCACTTGCCACAAGCACAACTTGACATTTCAGCGAGTGAAAAGAACATTCACTAACCCTGGGTATGGCACTGTTGCCATACCAACGCTCTGCCACAGAATGTTTCGGCATAGTTGCCATACCCGTCTCAACAGTCTTACGAACATGATCAAGGGCGAGTCTTCATGCAATCCAGACTTGTATATGAGAGACATTTGTAAACAAAAATGTGAATCTCTGCGCGCCAATATGTCAGCGTCCCCGCGGTCATCCGAGACTCCGGCAGCAATCCGCCTCCCACAATCCGCATGCACGTATGCCGTTCTTTCAGGATTTATAACTCCGAGGTCGTTCTTTCAAGCTCTCTCCAACCCCCAATTTCCGCTGAAATTTGTGGGTAATGTTTGTGCTTGATGATGAATTGCTGTCGTCCAGGGGATGAGCCGCAGCCCCCACTGTGGTAGTCGTTATTAATATCAGGTAAATGGAGATACCTAAGCGGGTCCATCGTACAGCCCCGCGCCTCACCCCACCAAGGTATCCGCTTCTCTTAAGAATACATCACTATTCCCGACCCCTCACCCACCCCCTCCTCCTCCACCACGACCCTCACCATACCTGCACACCAAAGTATCTCGCCAAAGTGGGCCCCCAAGACGACCCACAAGGACCCAATCCGGCCGCCCAAGACGATCAACACGCCCTAAACCTGAGAGCTCTGGAGCTTGAGGTATACCTCGGTCGCCATCAGCTCACATCTGCCTCACGTAAACTCAGTGATAAGAGCCTCTTCTCCCATTCCTCCCATTCCCACCCATTCCCACCCATTTCTGTCCATTCACTCCTGATTCACATGCAAATTTTGAGGAACCGGTGGACGGAGACCCGAAGAGGCGGCCGACAGTGAACGCATGTGATCACAAACACAGGATTTTGTTGCTTGAGAAGCGGAATGGATGGGAAGTGGGGAGGGTGGACGGAGGGAATGATGGTAGATGGGAAGAACGGAATGAGAGTAGGATGGGAAAAACAATTGTATTCCCGTGAAACTGTCATGCGGAAGAACTAATTCGGGAGGGAGAGAGAGAGAGAGAGAGAGAGAGAGAGAGAGAGAGAGAGAGAGAGAGAGAGAGAGAGAGAGAGAGAGAGAGAGAGAGACAGAGACGAGAGAGAGAGAGAGAGAGAGAGAGAGAGAGAGAGAGAGAGAGAGAAGAGAGACAGAGAGACAGAGAGAGAGAGAGAGAGAGAGAGAGAGAGAGAGAGAGAGAGGAGAGAGAGAGAGAGAGAGAGAGAGAGAGAGAGAGAGAGAAGAAGAGAGAGACGAAGACAGAGAGAGAGAGAGACAGAGAGAGAGAGACAGAGAGAGAGAGACAGAGAGAGAGAGACAGAGAGAGAGAGACCGAGAGAGGAGAGAGAGAGAGAGAGAAGAGAGAGAGAGAAGAGAGAGAGAGAGAGAGAGAAGAGAGAGAGAGCCGTGAAGGCTGCACCTTATCAGTGAGTGAGGCGCGTACTGCTTGTCCACATTGACAGTTTTTGAGCAAAAAAAGAAAAAAGCTTCCTTTAAGTCTGGATAAAACATGGAGGAAAACAGGAAGGCGGAGGACCAAGAAGAATAGAATGGAGAGAATCAATGAAAATATGAAGAGGAAATAAGATAAAGATGAAGAAGTAAAAAGAAAAACTGATTCATACATTTTCTGGCATCTCAACAAGAAACTTATAGAGACCGCACAGACAAAAATATTCATTTAATCTGTAGATTTAAAATCTCGGCAAGCTTCCCTAGCAGTAAGACACAAACAGGAGGGGACAGGGCTCTATGGCCACGATGGAGCACTCCCAGCCAACCACCCTCCCCTCCCACAACCACAGTACCAAGTAACGCACGATATAACCAGGTAACGCCCGGTATAACCAAGTATACCCACGTAACGTACCGAAGGGTTATCCTTCCAAGACATTTCTTGTCACAACAAGACACTCCCCGAGGGAGAGGAGTCCGCTCCACACTCTACACATGTGACACTCAAAATTTATCTGTGAAAGCGCGGGAGTGAGGGGGAGTGGGGGATGGTGAGAGGTAGTGGGGATGGTGAGGGGGAGTGAGGGGGAGTGGGGATGGTGAGAGGTAGTGGGGATGGTGAGAGGTAGTGGGGATGGTGAGGGGGAGTGAGGGGTAGTGGGGATGGTGAGAGGTAGTGGGGATGGAGAGGGGGAGTGAGGGGTAGTGGGGATGGTGAGGAGAGTGAGAGGTAGGAAGGATGGTGAGGGGGAGTAAGGGAGGTGTCCGTTCCCAGCAACACTGGGAAAGAAGGACAGAAGCACAATAACGAAATGTATCAAGGAGGACATCTCAGAGCAGGACGGTAATCGAACCAGTGTCCTGGAGTATCCCCCAGACGCACACCGCTGTAGTTTGTGGGAGTAACAGGGGTCACGTGAGCTGAAGTGATGGTGTGTGTGTGTGTGTGTGTGTGTGTGTGTCTGTGTCTGTGTGTGTGTGGGGGTGTGGGTGTGTGTGTGTGTGTGTGGGTGTGTGTGTGGAGGGGCGGAATGCTATGCCCAAGAGTACTTGCTAGTCCCTAGAGAACAGAGAGGCGACTGCTCGCACACACACACACACACACACACACACACACACACACACACACACACACACACACACACACACACACACCTCACAACAACACTCCTCCCAGAATTGCGAGGGATGGGATATGAAGACAAACTTGCAGAGCTAAACCTGACGGCCCATGAAACAAGGAAGCAGAGAGGGTGGACATAATACAGACGTATAAGATACTTAGGGCAATTGGACAAGGTGGAAAGAGAGTTAATGTTAACAATGAATACTAACAGAACAAAGGTGCACAGATGGAAGCTTCTCAGATGTGTCATAGACATGTTGGAAAGTTTTCTTTTAGCGTGAGGATAGTAAATGGAATGACCTAGAGGGCTATGAAGGAGCGAGATCAGAGCAACAAGAGAGGAAGAGAGGAATTAAGAGAGGCACTTTATAAGCAACACGGGGCGGAGATGAGGATGCTGCTGATGAGTTAAGCCCCCCAGATGAGAGAGAGGCAGCCTCACCGCCCCAGATCACAAACCTGTATGACACACACCAGCTAAAACATCCCAACTCTTAGTCGCCAGGAATTAACAACCACATGAACCCGTATTTTGTAAATACAAGTCACACCAACACCTTCTGTGGCATTTATAATGTTATCTGTGTTACGAGCGAGGAGGTACAGGAATGGTTACAAAGCTTGGCATATGCATGTATTAGACACATATACACGGACACACGCGCCTGTAGTAATACATGGACCTCACATGTAGCTTTGTGCTCGGAATACGAAATAAGGCGGTAGAATCTAAGTCAATGTTTACATAACACTGAAGTCAGTATTGGCAAGTGGTTGTGTGCAGCGAGGGTGTGGCCACTGTTGCTGAAGCACCAGCTGTTGCTGAAGCACCCGCTGTTCCTGAAGCACCAACTGTTCCTGAAGCACCCGCAGTTCCTGAAGCACCAACTGTTCCTGAAGCACCCGCTGTTCCTGAAGCACCAACTGTTACTGAAGCACCCGCTGTTCCTGAAGCACCCACTGTTCCTGAAGCACCAACTGTTACTGAAGCACCCGCTGTTGCTGAAGCACTAACTGTTACTGAAGCACCCACTGTTCCTGGAGCACCAACTGTTGCTGAAGCACCCACTGTTGCTGAATCACCCATTGTTACTGTAGCACCCACTGTTCCTGAAGCACCCACTGTTCCTGAAGCACCCACTGTTCCTAAAGCACCAACTGTTCCTGAAGCACCAACTGTTACTGAAGCACCAACTGTTCCTGAAGCACCAACTGTTACTGAAGCACCCGCTGTTGCTGAAGCACCCACTGTTGCTGAAGCACCCACTGTTCCTGGAGCACCCACTGTTCCTGAAGCACCAACTGTTACTGAAGCACCCGCTGTTCCTGAAGCACCAACTGTTACTGAAGCACCAACTGTTCCTGAAGCACCCACTGTTACTGAAGCACCCGCTGTTACTGAAACACCCACTGTTCCTGAAGCACCAACTGTTACTGAAGCACCAACTGTTCCTGAAGCACCAACTGTTACTGAAGCACCCACTGTTGCTGAATCACCCATTGTTACTGTAGCACCCACTGTTCCTGAAGCACCCACTGTTCCTGAAGCACCCACTGTTCCTAAAGCACCAACTGTTCCTGAAGCACCAACTGTTACTGAAGCACCAACTGTTCCTGAAGCACCAACTGTTACTGAAGCACCCGCTGTTGCTGAAGCACCCACTGTTGCTGAAGCACCCACTGTTCCTGGAGCACCCACTGTTCCTGAAGCACCAACTGTTACTGAAGCACCAACTGTTACTGAAGCACCCACTGTTCCTGAAGCACCAACTGTTCCTGAAGCACCCACTGTTCCTGAAGCACCAACTGTTCCTGAAGCACCCACTGTTCCTGAAGCACCCACTGTTCCTGAAGCACCAACTGTTCCTGAAGCACCCACTGTTGCTGAAGCACCAACTGTTGCTGAAGCACCCACTGTTGCTGAAGCACCCACTGTTGCTGAAGCACCCACTGTTGCTGAAGCACCCACTGTTCCTGAAGCACCCACTGTTACTGAAGCACCCACTGTTGCTGAAGCACCCACTGTTACTGAAGCACCCGCTGTTCCTGAAGCACCAACTGTTACTGAAGCACCCACTGTTGCTGAAGCACGGCAGAGTTATAAATCCGTCAGCACTCAGGCACCTGTCCACCAATCAGAGTCTCCGTCATTAATCATTAAGTCGAGTCTGGTTAAGCCAGCTTACACCGTAATAAAACTTTAGATGAATGTATAAATTAATTAATATATGAACAAATTATGGTTTGAGAAAAAGAATCTAATTATTAAATATTTTGTGTTGAATTTTTCACGGGAGAGAAATCTGCCTCCGGCGAGATATTTCCGCGAATAATATGACCGGAAGGAAGAATATTGAGAATATTCACAGCAACTTTGTAATCATCTCAGATTGAATATATATACTCAACGTATATTATATATACGAATATATACGAATATATACTATATAATATACTCATCGTATACTTATTTCCATGTTAATCTAACCAAACGTAATGTAATCTAATCAAACTTCAATTTAACCTATCCATGGATAGAGAGTAGATAATAGCACTAATTACGTAGTTCTCAATCCATTACCTTGAGCGGTTCTGCCCCCTGAGGATAGGTTGTATGGCGAGGCCCGGCCTGGCGTACTGTGATAAAGCTGTTTCAAAGAGTAATTATGGCAGGTATACCCTCTCCACAGCTGCCGCTGGTACTGGTCATGGGGTATACCTGAGGTAAACTGTACTCCACTGGACCCGTCTCGTGCAACCAGCAAGTAAAGGCAATAATCTGCAGCTTACACCACTGGGTAATTAGCTAGCTACACGCGTACACCAGTTGATTGACAGTTGAGAGGCGGGACCAAAGAGCCAGAGCTCAACCCCCGCAAGCACAACTAGCCGAGTACACGCATAAATATCGATCAAGAAAACAACACAATTACACAACATTCTAAAACTTAAAAAGTAATTTAATCGGATCAGAAGCAAAATGTGATAATTTAGCTTGGGGTAAACTGCACCATATACTCCCCTTACGGAGAGACCAGAGTCCCTCGACCCTTCGTAATAAGGTCAGAGCCTTGTTCTTTGAGGCAGTTCCTTCACTGTCGCCTTGAAGCCGTCAGCCTCCTTGTTCCGCCGCGGGGAGGGAGGGAGAGGGAGGGAGAGGGAGAGAGAGGGAGGGAGAGGGAGAGAGGGAGGGAGGTTGGGAGAGAGAGGGAGAGGGAGGGAGAGGGAGAGGGAGGGAGAGGGAGGGAGAGGCAGCACTCCCAGGTGGTTGGTGGAGAATGAAGACGACTCCATTACCAGGAGCCGCTGACAGCTCTCCCGAGATCATCCTGGAATGAAAAGCAAATCCTTCCACCGAATTCCTCTGAACATGCGCGGTCTTGGTCAAATGTTGAGAGAGAGAGAGAGAGAGAGAGAGAGAGAGAGAGAGAGAGAGAGAGAGAGAGAGAGAGAGAGACAGACAGACAGACAGACAGACAGACAGACAGACAGACAGAGAAGCCCAGACAGCCAGCCAAAGAGCGAGGGGGTTCAGAGTATATTCATTACTCCTCATTAACTTACGATGAAGGTAACTGCTAATAATTTACGACCAAATTTATCTTTAAAATGTCTTTAATTTTGTTAAACTGTGGAGATAATATAATAAACTGCCTCCAGGGCTCCCTCACACGCACCATCAATTTACCTCAGTATTTAGAGGAGATAATTCTATCGGAAACTATTCATGACTTACGACTTTGCTCACGCGAAGAGCAACAGCGGTGACCTGCTGCCCTCTGTCGGTGTGTGTGGCAACTATATCCTGGCGCGTGTGTGCTGCCCTCTGTCGGTGTGTGTGGCAACTATATCCTGGCGCTATACTGCCCTCTGTCGGTGTGTGTGGCAACTATATCCTGGCGCGCGTGTGCTGCCCTCTGTCGGTGTGTGTGGCAACTATATCCTGGCGCGCGTGTGCTGCCCTCTGTCGGTGTGTGTGACAACTATATCCTGGCGCGCGTGTGCTGCCCTCTGTCGGTGTGTGTGGCAACTATATCCTGGCGCGTGTGTGCTGCCCGCTGTCGGTGTGTGTGGCAACTATATCCTGGCGCTATACTGCCCTCTGTCGGTGTGTGTGGCAACTATATCCTGGCGCGCGTGTGCTGCCCTCTGTCGGTGTGTGTGGCAACTATATCCTGGCGCGCGTGTGTGCTGCCCTCTGTCGGTGTGTGTGGCAACTATATCCTGGCGCGCGTGTGCTGCCCTCTGTCGGTGTGTGTGGCAACTATATCCTGGCGTGCGTGTGCTGCCCTCTGTCGGTGTGTGTGGCAACTATATCCTGGCGCGTGTGTGTGCTGCCCTCTGTCGGTGTGTGTGGCAACTATATCCTGGTGCGTGTGTGCTGCCCTCTGTCGGTGTGTGTGGCAACTATATCCTCGCTCGCATGTGTGTGTATTTACTATTTGTGACTGCAGAATCGAGCTATTAGCTCTTGGACTCCGCCTTTCTAACCAACCTATTTTTCCTCCATTATATCGACTACATATTTCTCTCTAACACACACACACACACACACACACACACACACACACACACACACACACACACACACACACACACACACACACACACACACACACATACATCCCCAGGAAACAACCTGTAGCAGTTCACTAACTCCCAGGTACCTATTTACTACTAGGTGACCAGAGGCATCAGGGTGAAAGAAACTCTGCCCGTTTGTTTCCGACTCCGCCGGGAATCGAACCCGGGCCATTAGAACTACGACCCCCAAGGCGCTGTCCACACAGCCACGAGGCTCCGTATGTGTGTGAATGAGAGAGAGAGAGAGAGAGAGAGAGAGAGAGAGAGAGAGAGATAGAGAGAGAGAGAGAGAGAGAGAGAGAGAGAGAGACACAGAGAGAGAGAGAGAGAGACACACAGAGAGAGAGCATCATATCCTGACCTACGCTTTAATGTAGCGACAAACCTCATTACTTGCCCTATTGGCTTTTTTCCCAGCGCTGTGATACGAGCTGTGGCAGAGGATTCGCTTACACGTGTTCGATCCCCTACCTCCACTACCACCACCCCAACCCCCACCACCACAACCACCACCCCAACCCCCACCACCACCACCACCACCACCCCCACCACCACCCCAACCCCCACCACCACCACCACCACCACCCCTGCCACTACAATCATCTATCAGAACATGAAATACAGTAATAACAACAACTATCCCTCTGGAGAAATAAAAGCAACCAAGTTGCATGGGACAGCACAAAATTATGTACACAAATACAGACAAAATTGCAAATAAAGTGGTTGAACTACAGGAGTGACAGAAGAACAACCCCACATTATCACTATGTCGGAAACGAAACTAACAAGCATTATAGGGAAAATACATCCTTCCCACGAGGATATCAAGAAATATGGAGAGATAACGTGGGGGAGAGAGAGAAAGAGAGAAAGAGAGAAAGAGAGAAAGAGAGAAAGAGAGGGAGAGAGAGAGAGAGAGAGAGAGAGAGAGAGAGAGAGAGAGAGAGAGAGAGAGAGAGAGAGAGAGAGAGAGAGAGAGAGAGAGAGAGAGAGAGAGAGAGCGAGAGGTTGGAGCCCAGGTGCTACAGCTACACTTGAGCTTTGAAGAAGTAATATTATCAGAGGAATAAATTAAGGCAACTATCAAGGTAAATTAAGACAATTATCAAGGTAATTAAGGCAATTATCAAGGTAAATTAAAGCCATTATCAAGAGAAATCACTAAGCCATTACGACTATATAGCACTTGGAAGGAATCGGGATAAGGATTATCCTCCTCCTCCCATCCAAGAAAGCAAACATAGTCTGGATATTGGAAAAGGGGAACCAGGCAGGAGACAAAATTACAGACCAGAGTCACTGAAAAGTATTCCGTGTAAAGAGATGGAAAAAGAAGTCAGGTTGAGCATGATGGAGCATCTTAAGGGAACCATCTTTGTAACACAACGGCAACATGGATTTAGTAGGAGAAAATCGTGGTTAGAAAACTTGCGTCAGTTTCATGACAAGGTTACTAAAAATAAGACAGGGACCCCTGTCTTATTTTAGAAGGCTGGGCAGATTGTACTTTCCATAAACTGTCGAAACCCATTAGTCAAGATGGCAGGTTTGGAGAGCTGGGGAAACACTCAACTGGGTAAGGGAGTACCTGAAGGGCTGAAATCTGAGTCACACGTATCAAAGAGGAGATTTCGAGCTGGAAGAATGTACCAAATGGAGCGCCACAATGTTCAGTGGTGGAGGGCCACTGTTGTTCGTAATTTCTGTCAACGACCTCCCCGAGGGAATGAGCTCATGCGTGTCAATGGGTGAAGATAAAGCTAAGGTGATGAGGAATGTAAAAACAGAGGAGGACTGTAGAAAGTTACACGAGGGCCTTGACAAACTCCAGAAGTGGACAAACTTCCGGAGTTGCTTCAAACAAGTTTGAAGTTCAATCTCAATAAGTGTAAGGTGATGACATGGGAAAGAAAGTAAGGAGACCAGGAGGTATCTACACCATATCCACTACCCCCCCTCTCTTCCCCTTCCCTGCTACCACCACCCTCATCACTCCCACCAGCATCACCACAACCAACACAACCAACCAACCCCACAACCTCCACCGAAACCAGCATCAACACCACGGCCACCACCGCACTACTCCCACCACAACCACCACCAGCACCACGACCCCCACCACAACCTCCACTACCACCAGAACCACGACCCCACCACAACCACCACCCGCAAATCTCCTTTACAAAAACACACTAAGAAAACAGAGTGTTTAACCTGCAATTTGGGTGGCAGCCGCTCTAGTAGCAACAAACAGGTCTCCTGCGGTAGGTGTGTGTGTCAGATCAGTCCTAGTCAGCGAGAGCATGAGGCGTAAATATTGGTGTTCAGATCCAGACGTCCCCATCCCCTGACCCATGGCATGACCTCATCTGATGGCTCGCCTGGTCACCACATACTACCATGACCCTCTTCACTACCACTATCCGTCACTATACACACACTACCACCACTGACACCACCACCAACTACCACCACTCGTCCAGTGAGGCTTGACGTGTGAGGGGGCGGGGAAGAGGTCGGTCGTTACCGGACAAAATGATGGCAGGAGTCTGGCGAGGGAGAGGCCGGGATGGATGTGGGCTGTTAGTCAGCTCCTCCTCTCACGCACGCACGCACG